CCCGCGCGGAGGGCCCCGCCCCCACCCCGGCGGCGAGCCGCGGGGTCCCGAGTGAATGAACTTGATTTCGGGTATTTGGAGGGAGGCGATTTGCCTTGCACCCTTTCTGTACGCGCCCGCGGGCGCGCGCGCGTACACACACACACGCACACACACACACACAGACACACTCTCACACACACACACCACTCCCCGCCCCCCAAATTCCGGTTTTCGGCAAGGGGTGGGTGGGGAAGAGGTGGAAGCAAAGGCTGTCCAGACAATGGAGAGAGGAAAAGTGAGTGCCAGGGGCTCCGCGTCTACCTAGCTGGGGGCTGCCAGGGGCGGTTGGGGCCACGAAGAGGACTCGACTGCCCCTGCTCCCAACTGTGCTGTTGCGGTCTGGCGGGGCTCTCTGATTCTCCTTCCCTCTTCTCCTCTTCCTCTCTTTCGGTTTTCTTCCTCAACTTTCTCCTTTCTCTCGCTCTTTCCCGCTTCTGCCCACCGCCCCCCCCCCGGTCCCCCCAGCGGACCTGAGGGAACCAGTGACTTTTTCCTTCACCAAGTGGGAGTTATCCACATCAAGCATTTCACAACGACACATCAAGAAAAGTAGGCAGGTTCAAGTCAACCATGAAATGGTCACTTTTTAACCCCGTCCTGTCCTCATTAGGGAAATGCTCAAACACAGTCCGTTTTCAAAGAGCGCTCTTAATGAGGCGAGCTTGCCAAGTCTACCAGCTGCAGCCCCCGTAAACCCAGAGCCCAAAGAAGAAAGGCGCTGGGGGGTGGGGAGCTGAGGAGGCCGGAGAGGGGGAGCGGTGGATCAGGGAAGACAGGTAAAGTCGGGGAAATTTCGAGAACTGACCCGAGTTAACCCTTCAGGGCACACACCACTGGGAGCAGCCTCCCTGCTCCCCCCGGAGGCAAATCCTCTAGTCAGCGTTCTGACAACGTTAATTTCCTTTGTGTGGGTCATTTCTTCTTTTTGAAAAGCCAGGATAAAGTTGACAGTCTTTATAGATGAAAGGATGAGGTGACAGTCGGGATTAATGCAAATAAATACTCCTCTCTCAGAAAATTTTAGGCGATCTCAGATTAAATATAAAAACCCCAAAGCATCACTTTGTATTGCACATTATGCTGCCTCTCTCTTCTCTCGTAGCGAAGTCTGAGGGGAGGGGGCGGGGAAGCGTTACTGATAATACCAGCTTTAACTACTGGAGTTTCCCTTTGAACAAATATTCAATTTAACCAGAGTTAATTTACCATAAAAGACATTCCCCTTGGCACGAATGCACTCATGTCCTTGAACACACCTCTTTGAATGCCTGGGCTCTTACAGAAGCCATTATTCCGGGGTCTCTTTAAAAATCCGGAGCCCATCTCTCTCTCTTTCTCTCCCTCCCTCCCTCCCTTTTTCCCTCCCTCCACACCACACCACCCCCAGTGAAATCCTGGCACCCAGAGAGCGCTCCTTTCAGCCAGAGATCCCAGAACCAGCCGCTGTCCCCTGGCAAAAGAGGCCCAGGGCTGAGCCCTGGGCAAGTGTCTGCAGAGGTCGTACCCCTCCTCCCCTATTAGCTTCCCTTACCAACAGAAACCATTTCCCTCTGCCACCAAAACTAGGTTGCATCCAAAAGTTTCTCACAAGCTTAAAAAAGAAAAGCGAAAAATTGACAACTGTTACACAGAAGAACCCACAAATCTGCAGCAGCACCAGGGGTAAAGAAGCAGCGACAGACCCAGGTAAGATCCCAGAGAAGTGAAGATGTCTGGGGCCTCCCAGGCCTATCTCTGAGGGGTTCAAATCTCTCTCAGGTGCTCCGTGTTTGTAGAGTGCTTGTGGTTGGGGACAGTCTGATGAGCATGGAGGATGCTTGGTAGTTTTGAGTTTTGATGTGTTTCCAAGAAAGGGGAAATTGAGAAAGGAGTAATGGTGAGATGGGGTGAACGAAAAGGGAAGAAAGAATGAGCAACAGAGACATCCTGGAAGGGCTTCCTGGGTGCTCAGTTTATATGGCTTTGACTGGCCATTCAGGCCTGGGAGCCATGAGCAGGATGGCTGACATTCCCCCCCACACCCCCCCAAAAAACACTGCTTCTTGTCCAGCCAATGTCAAGGTCACTGCAGGCCTTCCCAGGATGAACTTTAAGGGAGATTTTGTAAAGAGAGACTGGTAGATTTGGGTGTATGGGACATCTGGCTTCTCTCAGAACATTCATCCATTACCTTTGATTTGAGAAGTACCAATCTTTTAAATCCCAGGTAGAAGAGTAGAGAGAGGAAGTGAGAAAGTACATGCATTTTATTCACTTTCCCTTTTTTCCAGAATGTCTGTGCCATGGTATTAAGAGTGCTGTTAAAGTATCTCTGAGAAGTCTCTGATACTATTAAAATGGGCCAAACACTTCTTAGCTTTGGATACTTACCTCTCCCTAAACTCTCTTTCTTCTCTCTCCCCCACACCAAAAGGTAATGACAAGCCAATTGCATTCACCCCAAAATCTGGTTTGAGGAACTAGAAAGAAGTGAAAGCCTCCTGCAGCAACAGGAATACTTGATATTTCAGAATTACTAAAATCTCCTCCCTATATCACTTACTCCCTGCCACCTTAGAGAGGAAAAAAGTTTCTTTGCTGACAGTTTGTTGACTTCAAGAAGGAATGCCAGTGCTTCGGGAGACTGGATTTTTCAAAACTCAATCGTATATTTGAAAAATTAAGCAAGTTACCCAGTTGGAGCCTTTCACCGACCTCCAGAGAGGACTTGACATCTGAAGTATCTATCAATATTGATTTTCTTTTAACCTTCTCCCTTCTAAAGAAACTCAGTGACAGGTTGCAAATCCTGGGCAGTTTAGGGAAAGGTTTCTTGGAGCTTAACTAAGCTGTCATTTTCAATACACCCGATGACTTTTTTTTTTTTTTAGCTCTTGAATGTGATTTGAGGGGAGGCTCAACAACCACACACCCTGGCCCTATCGCCAATATCAATATTTTAAAACTAAATACAAAAGAGACAGATGACCTCCTGACCCCAGGAAACAGGCCTGCAAAACTGCAAGTATCCACCACACCATGCCCAGGGACCTTTCCTTCTTCCAGATGAACCACAAAAATCATACATGTGTAGCCGGGAAAACACAATTTCATATCCACAAGCAGGAACACCAAAAATCCACTCAAAAGCACATACATAAACAACCAACAAGTACTGAAATTGCCTGCACTTGATGGGAATTGCAAAATCATGCCCAGCTCTCTCAGCCCTTAAACTACT